CATGAAATGGAGCACCTTCGCCACTTGGATAGGCGATTACCAAGAAAGGCTTTCCGTTCCAAGTCAAAACTACAATGCGCTCAATCTTTGATGCATCCAACTGACCGTCTTTACGAGGAAGCATAGGTTTTTTTCTCTTTGCAAGAACTAGTTTGAATCTACGATAAATGGCCTTCTTTATTCTTCTTATGCTCATGTATGTCTCCTCTCTATCTGAGAATCATACAAAGTCCTATATGGATGTCAATATCTAGATCAGCATACGACAAAAGCACCCGAAGGTGCTTTTCACAGTTTATTTCGCCTTGTATAGATAAAGTCAGAATCCACCTTGGCTTCTTCAATGAACTTCTGGGGAATGTTGGTTACTTCATCAAGCTTTGTCCCAACAGTACCTTGTCTGATAGAGACTGTTATTTTTGATTTATTTAGCCAGTTCTCAAGCCCAGCAGACCATACAACCCATAACAAGCCAATCCCCTTGACGACTATCGCAATCGTGAGTGGTATATCTGTAGCTGGATCTACCCAGACTTCAGCATGCAGAACAAGCTCGTTATCAATGAAAGTATCACTACCAACTGTCTTGGTAGGTAAATCACTCATATTGAACCCCATTAGCACCAGCTTGTTGTAGAAAGACTTTATCTTGCAAATGGTTCTATGCCAGAAAAACTGTACCCTTCTTATGATATCAATATCCACTTCATGACTCCATATCCTCTCATGAGAATACAAAGCCTAGTGTGGATGTCAATGTGATAACATTATTTCTTCTTCTTGGCCTTGGTTGCCTTGACTCCATTCTGAAATTTCTTTGCTTTTTTGGTTCTATCTAGGCATTCAGCCGCTGCCTCTTCATCTGATAGATACAAGCCAACTCGCTCGCCTTTAGGGTTATAGACAGCCCACATTTCTAGATCAGGAGGATTGATAGGCTCATTCTCCTCTACAACAATAACTTCTTTGCTAGGCGTCAACCGAACACGGCGATAGGTATGCATGATCTTCTTTATCAAGAACCAATGTTGAACTTTTAAGCAAATTCTTTTTCTTATCCTTCTTATACCCATAGTCTTCTCCTTTTACGAGAAGATCATACAAAGCACCAACCTAATGTCAAGATAAAGCAAAAGCACCCGAAGGTGCTTTTATTGGGATATCCATACCGATAGTCTTTCTTGTAAACTTATTCTTTTCAGGCGGAATGACCGGCTTTGTTTTGTGCTGCCTGAGCCTGCTTTTCTTCACGAGCCTTCTTGCGTTTAGCAGCAGCTTTCGTTTCTTCATTCAAAGTGTTGCCGAACTCAGATTGGCCCTCAAGAATAGTTTCTTTTGCTGCCATACCTTCAGCCTGAATCTCTTCAGGAGTCTTGCCAGCCAACTTACCATACTTCATGGCCACCTCTTTGAAAGCACGCTGGGAAACAATCCATGCTGCCAACAACTCCTGTTGCTTTTCGTAGTTCTCTTTGAAACGCCCATCTTTGGCCGCAATTTCAGCGAAGGGCTTGGATAGCAGAGCCTTGTACTCGTTATTCTCTTTCTTTATGCGATCAGCCTCAATGCGTGAAATATCTTCGTTATATTTGGCACGGTGGAGATCATCATTGGCTTCACGAAGGGCGCGATTCTGTTTATCAATGGCACGTCCTTGTTCGCCTATTTTCTCCAAGGCATGCAAGCCAGCAGTATAATTCAAGAAATCACTCATAATTAGACCTTTTTGTCAAGTGTTAATTGTACGCTAGCGTACATTTCCAAAAAAATCAAATATTTAGACTTGATCTGAGTTTTCTCTCTTGGCGACTGGCAGAAAATTCTTGGCTCTGATCTTCCTCTTCTCTTTCCAGATCGTATAGAAGGGCCAATAGCCAACCCATGTTCTGAAAAGAAAAATAAGCACGAAGGCTGCTGATCCCAAGCCACCTAGAAGGAAGCCGCATGCGGAAAAATCCACCCCCTTATTAGAAGTCAGCAGCGCTAGAGCCCCAAAGGCAGCAATCGATACTCCGCATGCAAACCAAGAAATACACAATGCCGTAATAACGACCTTGATCCACCAGGCAGCTTTATCCAGCAACCAATCAATCAATCGCTCTTCCCAATCGTCCATAAAGTTCTCCTACCTTTACCCATGAGGTAAGAAAACAAATTGCGCATGTCAATACTCTCCCAACGCACCTAGCGGCACCGCAAAATCGACTATTCTAGTTCAGACTATAGCATGGGTTGATGATCTATGGTCGACGCTATGAGGCTGTCCGCAGGGTGCTCAGGAAGGTGCGCCGTGAGGCTGGCCTGACCCAAGTACAACTTGCTGAAAAGCTCGGCAAGGGGCAGAGCTACGTGTCCAAGGTGGAGCGTGGTGAGCAGTACCTGGACGTGCTAGAGTTTGTAGAATGGTGTGAGGCATGCAGCACACCTTCTGACAAGGTAATCAAAAAAATTTGAGGGGGTGACATGGCATATTTAATTGCTTGGTTTGCTGGGGCTGTGATTGGTATTGGATATGTTTTTTCTCACAACCCGCCAATGTCTCTTTCTTGGTTATGGGCAGTAGTTCGGCTAATAGGCACTCTGTTCATACCTATTGTTGTAGAAAAAGTGGTGAGTCAGGAAAAAGAGAGGGTAGGAGTCAGTTGGTGGCAAAATGCGGCCATAATTATCTCTTTAGCCATTGCCACAATGATTTCGGTTTCTGGAGAGGGGCACTTGTTCTAAAGAAAGTATTAGGAAGCTTAAAGAGGAAGACGCTTAGAATCATTGCCACACCAATCCGAAAGGGCTCTGGGTTGGTTTTCATCAGTCCCGGGTGGACCTGATAGAGACATAGCGAGATGTAGGTAAGCCAAATTCCATTGCTAACCACGATAAACATCCACAAATCTTTTTTACTGAGATCAAGAAATTTCATGCTACCCCCGTTGACATTTAACAGATAACGCTCGTATCTGATTTGTCAAGAGGAAAAAGCACCCAATTGGGTGCTTTTTATTTAATCCTGCTCATCTTCATCTGGTGGAAGTCCGTTGTCTGGGTTATTGCTTAGATTTCGGTCCAAGTTTTGCTTTACAAGCTTCTCACCGATTCTGCTTGCTGCTTTGATAGCAGATCCACCATAGGCTCTATGGTTGTCTTGCTCTTTTGTCTCAGAATGTCGTTGGCTGATTCATTTGTGAAGTTTTTCAAGTGGTGGCGTAATGGTCTTTTATCGCCTGGATCAACATAGCCAGAAAGATTGGCAACATAGAGGCTATTGGGGAAGTGTTTTGAGAAGTAGTCTTCAATTTGCTTGACGGTGTATTGAAATGAAATCCATCTGTACTCGCCGTTGTCTATGATGTCTTCATCGCTGAAGATGCCAAGTATTTTTTGTTTTAAGTTCATGTTGATTTTCCTTGTTGTATTTTAATTTAACCATTGAGTAGCCCTTAAGGTGGGCTAGTCCTATTTCTTAAGCTAACACCGCTTGTTTCTGAGTCTTTGCGATGTTCTTGTATTCACGAACGATAGCCTCGTGGGCAAAGTCACATAATTCATGTTTCACATAGTTGGGCATGGCGAAGTAGTCAACCCCCAATCTATCGCAAGCTGTTTCAACATAAAGCTCTTGTGTGTAGCTCTTGTCTTTGTAGTAGTTGGTTTTTGGAACTACTGGAAGATATTGGATGATGACTTTGATGATTTCTGCTCTGACTAATAAACTCATGATTGTCTCCTTGTTTTGGTTATATATTTAATTTAACAAATAAAAGTAATATGTCAACATTAAATCAAGATTAAATATAACTTTGAGATAAACGGTAAACTTAAAGATAGAAGGTTGTTTATATAAAGTGATGGTACATTCAATCGCCGTGCGGCTCTTTAGGAAGATTTTGGGGTTGTTCCTGGCGGATCTGCCGTAGGCATGGAAGACTTAGGCAAGCGTGCTTGACACGCAAGAAGCGAATGCTTCCTTAAAGATGACTTAGAGGGAGATGTAGGTTTCCATCTCCATAAATAAAAAAAGCTCCACTAGGGAGCCTTTATTACCATGTCCATCCGATAGTTCCATCTTTCTCTGGAAACAACATGATTACGGGGGCATTTCCATTAAAGAAGGTGTAGCCGTTCTTGGTGTATTCATGATAGAAATTAGCCTCTGTTTTCTGTAAGTAGTCAGTCAACCATGTCTGAAATGGGATCTCGTCATATTTGGTGAACTTGACTGCTTTCCCCCTCTTTATAGATCTGATGAGCTCGTCTAGGTTGTGGATGGGTTGCTTGCTCATAAAGCCTCCTTGTCTGATTGTTCTTCTTCTTGCTCCATAAATTTGATGACTTCCAATGTCATGAGGCAATCTGCAAGGGCTCTGTGAGCTTTGAGAGTGATTGGCTCGCTCTTGGTGACACTGATTGCATGGTGGTAGGCATGGATGAGCTTGGACCAGTAGCCGTCATTGAAGCGGTCTGAGTAGTCCTCCATGACACAAGAGAAGGAACACTTGGAGCTGTCAAACTGGAGACCATAGAGGCCGGCGGTCTGACGAATGAGCCTGGTGTCGTAGCTGCTGTTGTAGATGTAGCAGGTGTGTTGCTCTAGTAGGGCAATGAGCTCGTGGTGTACCTGGTCGTATGTAGGCGCCTCGGCCACCATCTCATTGGTAATGCCATGGATAGCGGTGGCATCTCGAGGAATAGGCTTGGTGGGCTTGATTAGGGTATCAAGCAAGACTTCGCCTTGATCGTTTATGACTGAGATTTCAACGATTTCGGCGGTGTTGTCTAGCCCCGTGGTCTCTGTATCTAAAATAATGTAGTTGCTCATGTTTTCCCCTTGTTTTTGTTGTTATATGGGTAGCCCGTTGTAGGTGGGCTAGTCCTTGTCTGCCATCAATCGTTCCAATCCTTGATATCAAAGAATCCTAGCTCTTCCATCTTTGCTCTGGCTTCTTCTATGTTTGAGCATTCGCTCAAGTATAAATAAAAGCCCTTGTTGTCTCTTTGCTGTTCGTAGGTGTTGCCCTTGACCCATCTTCCAAGCTGTTTAACAACATAGCAATTTTTTCCGCGTTGATGGAAGTTCACGACAACTTGAACTTTATTGATGATGTTCCAGTCTTCAACTTCTTCCTCTTCCAATGCTCTTGCTTGTGATGCTTCGGTGCCGTTGATTGGCTCGCAATCCCAATCTATGGAAGCAAGATCGTCGTCTGAAATATGGCAGGCAATAGTTTTGGCTTCTTCTTCTGATGCTGCCTCAATGTGAACGGTAGCGGTATGGATGTATGTTTGATTGAGTAAAACTTCATAAACTTGTTTCATGGTAGGTCTCCTTTGTAGTTTTTATAAGTGGAAGGTCCGTAAGGTGGACCAATCCTTGTGTTTCTTACTTGGCTAAGAATTGCTTGGAATCGATATATCTAAAGTTGTCGGTTCCTTCCATTTCAGCCATAAGCTTGTCATAGTTTTCTTGGCTCAAGCGGGTGTCTGTTCTCTGTAAAAGCTTGCCATAAACCCAGTTGTCAAGATTTTTGATAAGGGTTGCAAGCTGGTCTTCTGTGATAGTGCCTTTTTTGAATAAAACTGGAAGATAGCTGTCTGTTTTTGATAATTCGATTGATTGCTCAATAGTTCTATCACTCACTAAGAAACTGGATGCTTTGAATTCATCCTCGTCGTCTTGGATCAAGCTCATTCCCCAAGTGCCATCCATCTGATCATCATAGAATCTGAATTTTGGCTCATGCTTTTTAAGTTGTGCGATTCCTTCTTCCCCGAAAATCACATTGACCTTTTTCTCGGAGAAAATAATCTTCTCCACATTAACGACTTTTGCTTTTTGAAGGTTATTTAAGAAACGGCGGGTGATTGTATTAACATCGTCTTCTGTTGATATGCCGTTTCCATTTTTCAATTGAAGGCAACCAGTTAAGATTGAGTGTGCATAGTGAGCTGTTTCAACACCAAGCTGGCTTTTTGTCTTTGCTGCTGCGTTGAAATAGATAGTGTCGTAGCGTTTTGGTGAAACATTGTTGTCTTCTGAAACGGCACCGCTGGCAATGATTGATTTGCCGTCTTGATCGACTAATTGAAAAACTTTTGTGCTTTGTAAAATGGTGTAGCTCATGACATTATCCTTGTTTGTTGTTATATATTTAATTTAACAAATAAACGGATTATGTCAACATAGATTATTGACTTTAAGATAAACGGTTCACTTAACGATAAAAGGATGGCATGAACCATCCTCATTTAAGAAACTGAAAACTCAATCGTCTTCGTCAGTGAGTTTGATTTTGACTTGGCTTGGTGGGTCAAGCTTGATTTTGTTATTGGTAGCCTCGGGAACGCTTATCGATCTGGCCTTTCTCTTCCTTTGCTTGCCTTGCTCAAGCTCTCTGGATAGGTCATTGAGAGTAAAGCCGTACTTGGTGATTTGGTTCTTGACCTCTTCTAAGGCCATTGCCTTTTTGACATGGCGGTTTCCTATTCTTGTTCTTAACCGTTCTTATTCAACCAATCAATAAACTGAAAATATTTCTCGTCGTAGATGGCTGGATCATCCTCTTCTTCTTCAGCATCGTCTTTGGCACACATGCTGGCAAGAAGCCAGCGGCATTTTTTGATTCCCTCTTCTGCACCAGGTAGGTCTTCTACTGCGAATGTGATCTCCTTGTTTGTGGATTCGCATGAGACATTGGTATGAGGAAGTTCAGCGGCTTTCTGGATAGCTTCTTCTTTGGAGTCAGCTTCTACAAGTTGGATGCTGGTCTCTGTAATGGTTTTTGTTCTTTCGGTTATGACTTCAAATTGCATATGACCTCCTTGTCTGTTCACCCCTAAAGCCCGCATATAGCGCTTTAGTGCTTTTGGTTGTGTGTGTTTTCCCATATAGTCTCCTTATCTCATGGTTGGTCTTCTTATCAAGAAAGGACTAGGTCTCTTTTCTCGTTGTGGTTCTGGTTCGTAGTTGCTGTTCATGGCATCCATTGCTATGAGCTGAGTGATAAGCTCCATACATGACTTGTGCTTGCTCTCAGTAGCAAGAGACATCAAGAATAGTGTTGCTCCCTCGGCTTGCTTTCTCATAGATTCCTCTCGGTTGGTTGGTTTCCATCCTGCTAGTTCTGCGGCTTTAAGAAGCAATGGCATCTCAAAGGTGGATGTCACATCCTCAAGGTCTTTCTGGTGTTTCTGCTCTTCTAAAGCCTCGTCCTCTCTGCGACCTTGCACCTGGGCTGCTGCTCGTTTCTTCTTCTGAGCTGGGGTTAGGTTGCTATCAAACATTTTTCTTGCCTCCTTTGTGGTTGCTTAGCTTCTTGTATTCGATGTTGTTGCGGTAGCAAATGACTCGCAATGAACGAATGGATGTTTGGCAATCGATAAGCTTGTGTAGCTCTTGAATAGTCAAGTTGCTCACATCCTCTTTCAGATTGATAAGCTTGTGCCTGGTCCCGCCTGGTCGTGCCTTGGATCGCTGAGCACTGGCAAAGCGAGAGTCGTCAAAGGGGATCTCGTGCTTGCAAAGTAGCTTGTAGAAGGATTGAGCTGTGCGGGGATAACCGACAACCTCTTTCAATTCGTTGATGGTTTTGGCTGCTGTGTCCATGCTCTTCAACTGCCCGACGAACATAGCGAGCTCGTCTTCACTGAGGCGATACTTCTCATTGCTCTCGTTGTTGTAAGCAAGGGTCTTGCTTACTGATTGACGGCTGATACCCAATGTTTGAGCGACATTGCTTTGGGTGGTCTTTACGCCACTTTCGCCTAGTTCTTTGATTGTGGCCTTGATCTTCTCAATTCCCGCTTTCTTCTGGTTTGTTTTCATGTTGTCTCCTTCGTTATTTAATAGCCCCTTGATTGGGGCTTTGTTGGTTTAATGTTCATTCTGCAAATAAGTCCCAATAAGAACCGTTTTTCTCGACAAATTTCTCTCGTACCCATTGCCGTCCTTCTTCACGAGTTTCCTTGTATTGCTCGAAGTATTCTTCGTCTGAAAGATAGTTGGTTGAGATGACTTTAAGGCATGTTGCTTTTGAAAGATTGCCCCATAAGCTGATGTTTCTATACAAGACGCTGCCATCGTCGTTCCACACATTGAAATGAGCTGTGGTGCGTTTGTGGGAGTTGAAGTTGTACTTGTCTAAGTTGTTGATGATTGTGATGGTTGTCATTTTCTAGTCTCCTTTGTAGTTGTTGGTATTAAGCGATTCTTACTGCATCTGTTAATGGGTTGTAATCGGGCTTGTCAGTCCATACGATTTCATGCATGTCATCTGTGACTGCTTCGTAGACTTCATCTTTGTTGCCAGAATATATCTTGGCTATTGTTTCACTTGATTTGTCGATCAAGGT